AGGCCAGGGCGGCGTTGGAGCGCTGGTGAGTGCCCGCCAGCCCCAGCTCCAGCACCCGGCGGCCCCCCTCGAAGGCGTCCAGCTCTGGACAGAGGTAGAGGAGACACTGCGGGGAAAGGAGGCTGAGCCCCTCACCATGGGGTACCCCCCATCCACCCCCCTGCCACCCAACTCACCTCCTGCTCCTGGGCTCGGTCCCTCAGCACCTCCAGCGGCCGCTCCGGCTGTGCCACTGTGAACGCCGGCACGCCGGGCTGCAAAGGACAGGGGTGCTCAGGGCCACGAGGGAGCATACCCCAAAACCGCGAGGGGGGGAGGACCGGGTCTCCCTACCTTAAAAATGCCCCCCTTCTGCCAGGCGATCTTCTCCATGGTGTCCCCCAGGATGCTGGTGTGGTCGATGCCCAGGGAGGAGACCCCACACACCACCGGCGCCCTGGGGACGCAGCGTGGCCATGTCCCCGCCGTCCCCCCGCCGCGGGGACAGCAGGCCGTGGCAGCCCTGGGGACAGGCTCAGCCCTGAAGGCTCCTACCTGATGATGTTAGTGCAGTCGTAGGCACCGCCAATGCCACCGCCAGGTCCACCTAGGGACGCAGGGACACCAGAGCCATCACAAGGCCACCAGCAGCATGTGTCCCCATGGATGCAGGTGGGGCCGTGTCCCTGCCACCATCCCTCTAACCCCGTGCCCCACTCGTGGGGGGGACCATCCACCTGGCACAGTATCCCCTGGTTACAGCCATGACGGCCTGACCCATGCAAGTCCTGTCCCAAGTGGGGGCTGGACCCTATGTCCCCCCCCTCCCTGAGGTCCCCACCATCCCCATCGCAAGCTGGAGGCCACCACCACCTACCTTCTCCTGCAGGAAGACGTGGAAGGCCATGATGGTGAGGAAGCGGAAGTACGCCGGCATGCTGGCATGCACCGGGTCCTGCCAGGCAGAGCAGGCGTAAGGGGCCGACACAGGGCATCCCCAACCGGAGCTGGGGCACGTGGCCCCGGGACACCGG